TGCACATGCACCTGGTCACGCCGGGGACAGGTTCTCATGAAAGGCTCAATGAAACTCCAAAGCTCCAGTGACGGTGACCACGCGGTGAGAGGACCACTGTGCTGGCTACGATGCAGGGCCGCGCCGTCACGGTGGCATCAGTGACCCTTTCTGGAGACAGGAAGGTGACGGGAGTGTGGAGAAAGCCAACCTGGGACAGGCAGAGTCTGAGGGAGATGAATGGCCAGTGTTCCCAACTTCCCATGTTTAAAAATCACTTTCATTGCTTTGGCTTCTCACCACCCTTTAGGTTCGTACGTGGCTAATGACCTGTCATAATTACTAAATTGATTTATTTTGGTTAGAGTAAGATAGTATTTTGACTAAACAACAAAAAGAAAAATGCCTATTTAATGAAAACTTCTAAAACGTAAGCTTGTTTTTAAAAAAGTCTAGCAGGGGCTTACACTGTGTCCAATACCAGAAATCTGCTGGTGCACCAAGGGTCTCTTCTTCCGGGTCACTCTATCAGGCCATGCTCACATCTGTCCCCTAGATAAGCTCAGCTGAGCCCACTGAGAGCTACCACCTCAAACAGTGTGCAAACAACTTAAAACACTGGTGAATGCGGACCTCACACGCTCACATTCACCCTGGCACTTGCCTCAAGTCCTCAAAGTCAGTAAAAAGGAGAGATTTATAAGTAAGATGCAATGGTTTGAAAACCTCTCAGACTTTCAAAAATGTAGAAATTTCCAGCCACAGCCCAGAATTTCTTTTTTTTTTTTTAGACTGAGTCTCACTCTGTCACCCAGACTGGAGTGCAGTGGCGTGATTTCGGCTCACTGCAACCTCTGCCTCCTGGGTTCAAGCAATTCTCCTGTCTCAGCCACCTGGGTATCTGGGATTACTGCTACCATGCCTGGCTAATTTTTTGTAGTTTTAGTAGAGATGGCGTTTCGCCATGTTGGCCAGGCTGGCCTCGAACTCTTGACCTCAGGTAATCCCTCCACCTCGGCCTCCCAAAGTGCTAGCATGACAGGTGTGAGCCAATGCGCCTAGCCCCAGCCCAGCATTTCTGTAATTGGGGTGCCAGTGTGCATATATAAAAAGATACGTTTTTTAAAAAAGAAAAAAACCCTATAAGTCTACCTGAGGTACAGACAAGTTTAAAAAGCACTTGCTTATGTGTAAATCTTTCCTTCCCCAGGAAAGCGGTTCCCGCAGCTGATGCCTACAGACATCATCCCTCACTCCTCGGCCCCTGACCTTTGACCTGCTGGCACTCACTCCTCAGCCCCTGGCACCTGCTGCTCGGCTCCCTGTCTCCACACGGCTGATGATGTCACTTTCCTGGGGAAGGAAAGATTATAAGCAAGTGGTTTTTAAACTTGTCTGTATATTATGTAGACATGAGAAGTGGCTTCAGGACATGAGACCTAGTCCCGTGACTGCAAGCTTGTGCCATGTCAGGACATGGTCACAGCCAACTTTCATGGAAAAAAGATGGATGACATTACTGGTTGTTCCTGAGCCATAAGGTGGTAGAATTCTTCTGCTTCTAGAAGCCTACTCCTGCTTTTAGGCAATTTGAAAGTGAAAGTCACTTGTCACCCTTGGTCAGCTCTGCAGACAGCATAGCTCCTCCTCAATTATCAACACACATTTATTTACTCTGTTCTGTCTTCTTTGGGTTACAAATTAGTTCTAATTATTACTCATAAGGCAATTTTCCAAACATTCTAAACTCAGGGTTGCACATTCTGACTTCTAACTTAATGGCGATGGCCTTCCCCATGCTGCAGGCGCCGTCCTGTGCACCTTCTACTCTCAGGGGCACACGCGCCGGCACCGCTAACTTAATGGCGATGGCCTTCCCCACGCTGCAGGTGCCGTCCTGTACACCTTCTACTCTCAGGGGCACACGCGCCGGCACCGCTAACTTAATGGCGATGGCCTTCCCCACGCTGCAGGTGCCGTCCTGTACACCTTCTACTCTCAGGGGCACACGCGCCGGCACCGCTAACTTAATGGCGATGGCCTTCCCCACGCTGCAGGCGCCGTCCTGTGCACCTTCTACTCTCAGGGGCACACGTGCCGGCACCGCTAACTTAATGGCGATGGCCTTCCCCATGCTGCAGGTGCCGTCCTGTGCACCTTCTACTCTCAGGGGCACACGCGCCGGCACCGCTAACTTAATGGCGATGGCCTTCCCCACGCTGCAGATGCCGTCCTGTGCACCTTCTACTCTCAGGGGCACACGCGCCGGCACCGCTAACTTAATGGCGATGGCCTTCCCCACGCTGCAGATGCCGTCCTGTGCACTCTCTACTCTCAGGGGCACACGTGCCGGCACCGCTAACTTAATGGCGATGGCCTTCCCCACGCTGCAGATGCCGTCCTGTGCACTCTCTACTCTCAGGGGCACACGTGCCGGCACCACTAACTTAATGGCGATGGCCTTCCCCACGCTGCAGATGCCGTCCTGTGCACTCTCTACTCTCAGGGGCACACGCGCCGGCACTGCTAACTTAATGGCGATGGCCTTCCCCATGCTGCAGGCGCCGTCCTGTGCACTCTCTACTCTCAGGGGCACACGTGCCGGCACCGCTAACTTAATGGCGATGGCCTTCCCCATGCTGCAGGTGCCGTCCTGTGCACATTCTACTCTCAGGGGCACACGCGCCGGCACCGCTAACTTAATGGCGATGGCCTTCCCCATGCTGCAGATGCCGTCCTGTGCACTCTCTACTCTCAGGGGCACACGCGCCGGCACCGCTAACTTAATGGCGATGGCCTTCCCCACACTGCAGGCGCCGTCCTGTGCACCTTCTACTCTCAGGGGCACACGCGCCGGCACTGCTAACTTAATGGCGATGGCCTTCCCCACACTGCAGGCGCCATCCTGTGCACCTTCTACTCTCAGGGGCACACGCGCCGGCACCGCTTCCTCTCGGCGGCTGCTGTCTGTCTCTGTTTTCACACTTCACAGCAAGGGCTTGGTCTCTGCGCAAGACATATTATCACCAGAGAAAGCGGCTCTCTGACGCCTCACAACCCTTCTTCCCGCCCTCTTCACCACCTGCGTCCCCGTCTGTCTAGCCCACCTGCTGGTCAGCAACAGTGGGGTTTTAGGCTCATGTTGCCAACTGTCTGTGGAATGAGAACTTAGCAGCTTTCACATCCACACATCCAGAAATTGAACTCATACCCTAACACGTTCTAAGACACACATTTTAGTTTTTAACCTAGGAATTTAGTTTGTCTTTGTCATGAATCTGAATTTTCTACTCATGTAATAGTCATAGAACCTAAACTCAAATAGCTTTATATAATTCTCCCATTAAAAATGCATAATTTAATTGATTTTAGCATATTCACAGAGTTCTGTAACCAACACAATAAATCTATTTTAAAACACTTTCATTCCCTTAAAAATAAAACCTACCTGCTGAGGATGACTCCTCACCCCTGACCTTCTCCCTGCTGGCACTCACTCCTCAGCCCCTAGCACCTGCTGCTCTGCTCTCTGTCTCCACACAGGTGTCTGCTCTGGATGTATCATGGAAACGGAATCACACACACATGTACGTTTCCTTCTGCAGCTGCCTTCTTCCACTCAGCACAAGGTTCTGAAAGTGCTTCGACGCTGTCACAGACACAGCTCCTTCCTGCCGTCTGTGACTGGATGATGCTCCGTGTGTACGGACAGACATTTTATTTATTGATTGACATGATACATTTGTGCTGCCTCTACTTCCCGGCTCTAACACTGCTGTGAACATTACCATATGGGTCTTTGTTCTCACGTCTCTTGGGTATACTCCGAGGAGTGGAACCGCGGGGCGTACGTAAGTCCGTGTCACTCCGAGGAGTGGAACCGCGGGGCGTACGTAAGTCCGTGTCACTCCGAGGAGTGGAACCGCGGGGCGTACGGTAAGTCCGTGTCACTCCGAGGAGTGGAACCGCGGGGCGTACGGTAAGTCCAGGAAGTGTCGAGACTATTTTCCAAAGTGGCTGCACCCTGTTACAATTCCACCCACAGCGCGTGCAGTTCCAATTCCTCTGCGTCCTCTCCAGCACTTGCTATGGTCTTTTGATTCCTCCTATCCTGGTGGGTGTGAAGTTGCATCTTGTCTCTGGGCTGAGATTCTATTCTGATAGGGTGGAAGATGGCACTCTTCTGTAATAAACTCATCAGTCAGAACCACTAGACTCCTCTCTTTAAAACATTAGGTCTGATTTTTTTTCTTTTTACTGAAGGCCCTTTCCTGCCCGCTGCCCAAATGTTTCTGTTTCTGACACAGTTTACAAAGTATTTGATGACACTAGTTTTCTTATACTGCTTCCATGGCTGGCTTGATTACAGAACAACCTCAAGAACCCTGAAGGGAAAAGTTTATATAAAGCTGTATATAAAACATACTAAGACAGTAATTAAACAAATTTAATGAATTTTACTGATCTAAAAATCAAAGAATGATGTAAAGTTAGAAATAATTTACCATGTTTAAGATCTTACCATTTCTGTAGGTTTTGGAAATTATTTACATCCCAATTTTCTTTGGAAATAGATGTCCTGTATTGAAATTCTGGCAAGATCAGTGGAAATTTAGTATGGAAACCTGGTGACTCAATTTGGATGCGGGAAAAACTGGATAATGTAGCCAGAATAAGAGTCCCAAGTTTCAAGAGCTTTGTAAAGTGGGGCTTTGACACAAATTAGTTTATGGAATCAGTAAATGTGGCCGGTATTGCTCATGCTGTTCCCTGTGACCAGCCCTGGGTGTTCTGAGACGTGTGGGGACGTGGCGGCTGTGCATCAGCATCTGCGAGGCCCAGGCGACGTCAGAGGCTGCGTGCTAGAAAGAGTCGGGCAGTTTTCAAGCTACAGCTAAAACGCACATTAAAGCTATGGTAAAGTGCTCCTCTATATCCCCCACCCCAGGAAGAACGAATCCTCATGACTCTGGAGCCCAAATGGAATGCACAAGCTCTCACGGTTTTGTACTCTGACTGACCTCATCGGGGCTGGAAGCCTGGTAGGTGCGGTTCTCATCACTGAAGTCTTGGTCAGCCTCTGCGAATTCAGTCTCCCCAGAAACGCCAGCTCGAGACTCATATACAGGGGTCACGTTGTGGCACAGCACTATGGCTTTCACGGCTTCATGGATTCGACTGCTGACACTTTTCCTGACTTTGGGAGCTGAAGATTGGGCTTTTCTTGGTGGAGTTGAACTGGCGCTGTTTCCACCAGCTTGAGAATGCATCTTTAGAATAGGAAAAATCACATAATTAAAGACAGAGCAAAGAGAACTCTCTAGTTAACATGAAATTATTAACACATGTGATTTTTATAAGCAAAGTAGCTAAGAATAAGTAGCTTGATTTGATTCCGAGTACCCCCTATACATCACTGATTATTTTTTAACCCTAGTACTGTGAAGTGCTTTGATACATCCAGATTGTCAAAATATACCAAAACATTCACTATAAAAATATTACTTAAAAATCTGGCAATGTATTTTACTATATTCACTTCAATGGCATTGATCTGCTATGTCCTGAATTCCTATTTATTCTTGACTTCCAAAAGCAGAGTGAAAGAACAAAACGAAATGGTATACTCACCACTGCTTCCAGCTTTCTTTCAATAAAGGGTATAAAGCCAAAAGCAGGACAAAATTTTTAAGAATCTTCCCTTAATAGCATAAAGTATTCCTGATCATCAATAGTCTCTGAATTTAGATGGTCTAGTTTTACAGATAATAACAACCAAATACAATCCTAAGTCGCATTAAGAGGAAAATGACCCCATCTCATATCTCAGAACCCTGTTCTCTTAAAGCAACTCCCCATTTTTGGGCTTATGTGTATGCTTGGCTCTCCTCAGACTCAGCTGTGTTTAAGAGATTTCATCGGCACCACTGAAGAGACGACTTTTTATTATTCACCTCCTACGTGGTGGAGGGTATCACAGGATACTCCCCTTGACCCCAACAGGACTGTCAAATGTTTCTTCAGTTAACTTCGGAGTGACTCATGACAATCCGCCTTGGAAATTGAGGCTCCTGCGTTTGGACTGGTGCACAGATCCAGTGAACTGTGAATCTCCTGCCCATCAAATTACAGCGCTGTCTAATGAAGGGTTTAACTTTCTGCTCAGCTGGTGCTGCCTTTCAGTGAGCACCCAGCCCATCTGCACCCGCTCATGCTGCTGCAATAGCAAACTCAGCTGGCTCCCTCCTTCCAAACTAGGTGATGTTTATTGATGCTGTACAATTTCATTTCACATAAATTCCATCAAAGACTATGCCCTTGATCACCAAATGCGTCCAGTGGGGAAACAGAATCAGGTTATAAAGGATCTGTGTTGCAGGGCAGTGGACCTACTAGACTCCCGTCATCTTGGCAGTAACACGGAATACCAAGAGTGATTCACATCAGTTTCACAGAAGAAGTGCTGTCTGTTCAGCACACAGCAGCTTTCAGTGAAAATGATGTTTTAAAGTCCTCTTAGATGGAAGCACAATAAATATTGTGTTTATATAATGATGCTTCATCTTTTCTGCTTTTCACTTTTTTCCCTAATAACTAATAACATTAATGACTTATTTGAAGCTATTAAAATCACATTCATACATTTTTTTTTTTTTTAAAGCAGATCAAATCTGGTACTATTTCAATGTAGAAATAGATTCCTGGGAGAAACTGTATTCTTTCTCCTTTTAAGATTTTTCTTCTATTAATAAATATCCCACATTACAAATATTCTGTATCTAAATGAATTATATCCAAAATAATAAGGTGTTTGTTTGCTTATGTGTGTGGATAAACATTCCACATGCTAAACAGACACACATATGGGACTTCTTCCATTTGACAGCATGCCAACAGTGGCTGCTAGCAAGTACAGAAGAAAGTGAAGGATTTCCAAAACTGAATACAATGCTGACCACTGAATGCCACTCTGGAGTTGTCAAGAGTAGAAACGCTGCAAGGGAAGGTGTCATTTAGTCTAGTCTCTGCGAAAATCAAGTTTGAAACAAATTACTGCAAATACAAAAAGTCTCCTAGACTCCACTACTGATTCATATATTCGAACGGATGACTGAAGTGGCAGGATGTTAATTTCTTTGAGAAGTGTGCTAATTTCCAGATGGGAACACATGAGGCTCGGCTGGATGCACGGCGAGGGGTGTGTGTGGAAGCAGACCCCCCACAGGAGGAACCCACTTGCCTGTGAGTAGGAGTCCCTGATGTGGCTCTGGATCTCATCCATCGTGTCCGCTCCATAGGACACAGTGCCCAGGTGGAGCCGCTTGAATACCATCTCATTCTGGGTGAGGGTTCCTAGGACAAAGGGAACAACAGCAAACACGTTAATGCAGGAGGCCCACGGGAAGGCCCAGCTTTCCCATGGCGCATGGTGCGCCACGGGCGATGGTCTTCCTCACTATGCTGAAGCTACCGGGATGCCCCACTCTATAATACAAGGTAGCGTTAAGACTGTTACTTGCTGTTATTTTCATTTTAATATGAAGAACAAGGTATTTTCTTCCTAACATGCCAAGGTGCCTTTTTAACATTTTGGGGTGTTTTTTTTTTTTTGGAGACTAGGTCTCACTTTGTTTCCCAGGCTGGAGTGCAGTGGCGTTATCACAGCTCACTGCAGCCTCCACATCCCAGGCTCAAGTGATGCTCCTCCCTCGGCCTCCCGAGTATCTGGGACTACAGAACACGACAGCACACCTAGCTGATTTTCTGGTTTCTGCAGAGGCATGGTCTCCTTACATTGCCCAGCCTGGACTCAAGCGATCCTTCTGTCTTAGTCTCCTAAAGTGTTGGTATTATAGGCGTAAGCTACTGTACACCCAGCCCCTAACAATGTTTAATAATGGGAAGGGCTCTAGTTACATGAGGAAAGCCCAGTTGTTGCCTTTCAGCTCAGATCTGTTATTTGGAACAAATACAACTTTTGCCTGTTCTGAAAGAGTCGGGCATAAAACTAGAAAACTGAGTCACCACCTTTACACTGCCTGAGAAAGACATCAGCTAGCCCCAAATTAGGGTGTCCATCAATTTTTTAAAAAACTTATTTCAAAAAGTTAGGTGTTTTTAGCTGAACAGAAACACTATTCCAGATGTGTTTAACCCTTAGCATGTATGTGCATCCCTCGGAATGACAGACAGGAGGTCTGTGAAGGGAGGATGGCTTTTCTTTAGCTGAGTTTCCAAACACTGGGCTATCTGAATCGGCTTCTTCAACGCCTGGCCCTCAGTGGACCGAGCAAGAAGTACCCCAGTGCTTCCTCAGGAGGACTATCAAAACGTAGGGCCTTGGATTAAAGAGATCCCACTTAACCTAAAGCACACGTGACATACGCACACAGCTTTATTTATTTGGCCACACAGAAGCAAAGTAGCACAGGGAAGCTCGAATGCCCTCTGGATAGATATGCAATGTGCTGCAATAAGGGTGCTTTCGCCTTGTCCCCGGCGGTGGGGGGGTTCTGCACTTATTCCACAGCATATCTAAGAAAGGTTATCCACAGATACTCATGACATTATAAATCCGAGTATGAACAATGACATAGCCAACGGATTGCAATAAAGGTGGAACTTTTCACATGGTTGCAAAACACCCATAAAAATATGAACTCATGTTTATGTTCCGTGGCACGCATGGTCCAGGAATACAACCCAGACTGTTTCACGTCTATGGCGCCCGCTGGGTACGAGGGGATTAGAGCACAGAGTTAATCCCAAGATATCAGTGAGGGTCAGAACACACACAGTAAGCCTTCCACCAGGACACAGTGCTTACTTTAAAGCAGAAGGAAAATATAGCTTACAATTACTATTTTAGAGAGTTTCAATAAATGCTAAAAAGTGGATGTAATAAAGTTTTAGAAATTCCAAACAGCAGCTATCTACCTGAGATGCTTGTCAGTTTTATAGATTTTGCCTTCCACAGTGTTTTATGAAACACCTTTAAATGGCTGTGTTCTGCATACCTTGAAAAAAATGTCTCCAAGTTTCATAAATCCAAATGAAAACAAAATCATCAAAACATGAGAAGTAATTTAAAGCTTTTTGTTTTGTTATGCTACCCTTGTTAAATAAGTAGAATTAACTTAAAATACTAGGCCATATTAAATAGTGTAATCAGCAACAATTCAGTCTCTAAATAATATAATGAAGTTCTACAAGTGCTTTATATATATTTTTTGCTTGTTTTTTTTTTTTTTTTTTTTTTTGACACGAAGTCTTGCTCTGTAGCCCCGGCTGGAATGCAGTGGCATGATCTTGGCTCACTGCAACCTCCGCCTCCTGGGTTAAAGGAATTCTCCTGCCCGAGCCTCCTGAGTAGCTGGGATTACAGATGCGTGCCACCACACCCGGCTAATTTTTGCATTTTTAATACAGATGGGATTTCACCATGTTGGCCAGGCTGGTCTGGAACTCCTGACCTCAGGTGATCCACCTGCCTTGGCCTCCCAAAGTGCTAGGATGACAGGCGTGACCCACCACACTGTGGGCCTATGAGTGCTTTAAATAGCAAAAATGTGAGATGAAAAATGATAGTTCTAACACTGTCAACAGTTAAAAGATAATGAAACTTTACATTAATTCATATTAGGATAGGTACAAAGTTCACCTTTATTATGTGTACCCAAGTCAGCAGCTCTCTGAAAAATTATTTAACAAATGTGCTAAATTAAAAACATTTTACTTACCAGATTGAGGTAACTAAAGCATTTCCTTTAGACTTTTTTCTCTGACATAGACTGAGTGTGAAGCATGATAATTTAGGGAAGGGAATGGCAATGAGGCATAAATCCTATGCAGATTATAAATAGGACTTTGATTAATGCCACTTCTTTTAACTCAACTTTTTAATTATGAACAATTTCATATGTAAAGTTAAGATAATATTACAATGAACACCTGCATAGCTCCTACCAAGAATGACCAATTATTTCTTTAGGACTTTAAATGGCTGTACGCAAAGAACCGTAAGTAAAGCAATAGCATTTCATTTTCCACCTAATCCTTGCTCGGTGTGTTTGTGGGGCGGCTGTGACAGGCCTGGGTGTGGAGGAAGCTGCGAGTGCAGAGGCTCCACTGGGGTGTGAGGTGCTGCTGTCCACACCCCCGCAGTCCCTGGCTCAGGTCTCAGCACCCTCGCCGAGACCCACATGCAACCCTACAGCCCAGCGCCTCTCTGTTCCTCAACACCTGATGAGATATCTGCAAAGGGACTGACTGGCCCCTCTGGCGTCTTCCCATGGTCACCTTAATTGAGAAGGGCAAGACCTCCCACTCAGCCTCCTCACTGTACAAGCACTGCAGGGTGGCCCAAGGATGACGGGAGGGCACCCAGGTGACATGCCTGACGCAGTCAGTCCTAAATAAAGAGGAGCTGCCCTTCAGCAGCCACCAGCACGGCCACCATCCTTTCCTCACTTTCTGTATTCAACCACCTACCAAACGTTCTCAGTTCTCTCAATCCCACCTCAGACACGGAGCACATGCCTCCCGAAGCTCCTTCACTCTGCCCCTCTCACCACGCATCCTGACTGCTGCCTCTTCCAGGAATCAATAAGTGAGATGGTTATAAACATAATTATGTGCCAATTCCACTTTGTTAGACCAATGTATTTCTGATGCTTTAGTTGGGTGGTTGATGGGAACAGTGAAACGTTGATTTGGGCTATCTAATGGTCACATTTTCCATCTTCCTGATAATAACACCAATTCAACTTGTGGAATACACACTAGAAACCCCTCATGGTATGCTGGGCATCAACCTTGGCTGTGTGTGTGTGTGTATGTGTGCGCTTGCACGCACTGATGCACACACATATGCCTACAGCTGGACTAAAACAAAACATACAGAAAGTGTCACTCCTGTATGTGAATCTGAGAGATAGGAAATACAAGGAATTTGAATCCAGGAACGTAGGTTCTTTTCATCCACCTCTTTTAAAGGAAGTGTTACATCACCTCAAGGAGACAATCTCCTGAAAGCCCTGTGCCCCTTGCTCCTTTCTGGCAACATGGACCTGGGCAGCTCTTTCATCTGAGCCCCCGCCACTCCCTCTGTTGGTGCTGCTGAAACGAATCTGAGCCATATCATTTCAGCCATGGGCATGTCAGTGTCATCTGTGAAAGAAACACACTTTAGGCCGGGCGCGGTGGCTCACACCTGTAATCCCAGCACTTTGGGAGGCCGAGGCGGGTGGATCACGAGGTCAAGATATCGAGACAATCCTGGGCAACATGGTGAAACCCCGTCTCTACTAAAGATACAAAAAAATTAGCTGGGCATGGTGGTGCGTGCCTGTTATCCCAGCTACTCAGGAGACTGAGGCAGGAGAATTGCCTGAAACCAGGAGGCGGAGGTTGCGGTGAGCTGAGATCGTGCCATTGCACTCCAGCCTGGGTAACAGGAGTGAAACTCCGTCTCAAAAAAAAAAGAAAGACACTTTAAACAGAACCCCAATATTATCACACCAGAAAGCCACAGTAATTCCTCCATGTCAAACAGAAGCCAGGGTTCTAATTTCCAGGTGTCTCATGTGTTATAATTTTTTACACTGCTTGTCCACAGTATGGCTCCAGGAAAGGTCTCTTGAGCCTCTTTTACTCTACAGCTTTTTCCTCCATCTCTTTCTTCCTTGAAATTGATTTGTTAAAGAACCTGGACTGATGGTTTCTGTTCCCGCAATCTGCCCTTGGCCGCTGGCCCTTTCTCCTGTGCCTGTGGGCCTTGTGCTTCCTGTGAGCCACAGCTGGACAAAGCTGGCCAGGCGAGGTTCCGTGTAGGCTGCTCCAGGGCAGGGAGTGCCCTTCCATCAGGAAGAGGGTGTCTGGTTGCTGCCTCCTCTGATGTAAACAGCCACCCACAATCGATCCATAGACCCACAAATTCATCATGGGTTGAAAGTGGCATATATTTGAGGCACAGATCGTTGACTCTGGGGCATCTTTTCCTGGAGAAGAAATCTCTGGCATTTCTAAATGCAATAAATCCACATGGACAACAGATGTTTTCCAAAAACAAAGTTTCATCATTTATAATCACTCCATTCACAGACTCTTTCTAGACAGTAAATCTGGGATTTTAAACCACTATTTTAATCCAGTGCTTTAGGTTGGAGGTCTTTTTTCAACTTGGTGGCAGCATTTCAAGTTCTGAGATCCCAGCTTCAGTCACGCTTCTTGCTGCTGCCTGGGAAAACTGAGAGTAACTCTGCATGTACACAAAGACCCCTTGAAAGTACTGGACACCAGACAGCTGTCATAGAAACATACAAGGCAATGCTAAAATACTGAGTGTAATATCT